CATGAGAGTCTTCTAGCGAGAAGGATCATAGGGGGATAAAGTGACCAGCGCACAGAAGGGCTTGCTCAGAAACATCTTGAGCACACAGCCTGCGAGGAAAGGGTAGCTCGAGCCACATAAACCCCATCAGCACTGGTCTGGTGCCTAAACCCAACCGCTCTAATTTAGGCTGTTGTGAATTTTGATGTCCTTATTGTTGAGACGGTAAGCAACAACAGTCCTTTTGTCAAGCTGGCTCACCAGGACCTGGTGAAAGGAAAGCTGTGTCTTGTCAGCTTGCCAGCTTTGCCCACCATAATAATTTCTGGTGTGTAGGCAGGTGCTGAGGCCATCGTGTCTCGAACACACAAGGTTTCCTGGACCCATATCAGTTGGGTCTTGACTCTAAAATTTTCAGCAACCTCAAAGACAACTCTATTGCTGCCCCTAGTACTCAAGGGCACTTTAAAATACCCACCTTTCAATCTAAGTATATGAGATAGATTGCTATGTTATTCTATTTCATCAGTAACTTTGTCTGAATTTGAACCAAACTGTTTTATCTGAGAGAGGAGGAGGTCTAGAGACAGCTACTCAAAGAAGCTCCTTCAGCAGAGCCCAAGGGTTGGTTTCCTTCACAGCAACAGGATGCACCACACAATCCCGTTCCTCTAGCAGAAGCCCCTTTATACAAGTACAACCCAAAGGGGGAATGCTTCTGTGCACTGAATTCCAGCTCATGTAAAAAAAGGGATCAGTGTGTCCTGGTCAAGACTTATCTCAGCACCTTTTCTAATTACATCTCCACAAGATGGTTTTTATGCCCTCACAGAGGCTATTCCACTTTCTCAACAGTTTCTTTACGGCAGCATTCAAAACCTTATATGAAAATGGCCCCTTAAAGCTCTACTTGTGCCTTGATCAGCCCCCACCCAAGGCAGAGGCATCCAAAAATGCTGCTGCCTTTTAGTGATGTGCCATCACTGTTCGTCTGCAAGGCAACGTGGAAGGTGCTCTGCTGAGCAGCTGGACTCCCTCAGCTCTCTGCGCATGTCCACCTCCTGCCTGTCTCCCAGTCTTTGGCACCTTTTCATTTCTTGAAACCTCCAGTGCAACGGGGGCAAAGAATCCCAGCCCCCCCTGCACAGAGCGCCCAGCCACAAGGACAACAGACACGGGGGCATGGTGCAGTCCCTAGCATGTGACTCAGACAAGTCTCCAGCTCCAAATGCCACTGACGTACCATCAGGGCATGGCTGTGCAATGTGGACCAAAAATCCAAACTTCCCTTTCCAAACACCTACACAGGACAGAATATGTTACCTTTCTTATTTTCTGCTCAGTACCCTTTTTGCCCCCTTCCTGGTATGATTTGGCTTAAATCTAAGTGAATAAATTTTAACTAGACAATTTCATAGCATATGACCTGGTATTTTGGGTTTGGGGTTTTTTTTGTTTGTTTTTCAGTGAGGCAACTAAAATCTCTCCCCTAAACACCTAAATCAAGTGAACTTTTATTAGGAAATTATTTTTAAATTCATAAACTCCAGTTAATATTTTTCAACCATCTGCTTGGTTATCCTTATAAAGCATTATTACCCATGAGAGTGATGGCATTACTAAATAGGCAACTATTTAAAAAGTAATTAATTTGGATTTCATATCAAAATGACTGGAAGAGATGTAAGTCAGTAATAAAAGTTTACATATCAGTAAAAAGTAATCAGCTCATACATGCGAAAGTTTGAGACATTGATTCAATGAAAGGAACGGATGTGCAAGTCCAGACGCTTTACTACAAAAAAGTGTATTCAAACATTGGGTGGAAAGCTTTTATGACAGTTTTTATCTATTTGAAGTTGTAACTATCTCAAGTATTCTCTGATAGAGCAGATGTTAAAATTAATTTCCTCTTGAGATTCACAATCTGACATAAATTAGTCAAATTGGCCAGGAACCATGAAGAAAATTTCTGAAAAAGAACCATCATGTTGGGAGACCAGCTGTAAACTTGGTCTTTCCTGTGGTTTATTTCGGTGAAAGAAAAACTTTGCTTTATTGAATTCTTATGCTGGTAGATCTATAAATAAGAGAAGCATCTTCTATATTAGTGTATCAATGGAAGTGTTGTATCTTGAACTTTTTTTTATGGACTCAAAACAAAATTCAATGCTGCACTAAATTTATTAGTGCTGTTTACACTGCCTCACATATGAAATATTACCTCTGAATAAAAAGTTACAAAATGAATCAGCAAAACAGGTTTCTGCTAAAAACTTATCCAAAAATCAAACAGAAAAAATTTACCTATATTTCAACATGTTACCTCTTAATGTGGAATATAAAATTATCAAAATTATTTCAGAGTGACTGAAAATAACACTATCATTTGATAAAGTTTACTTACAAGACTAAACTGTATTTCCAATTTCCTGCACAGCAAAATTGAGGCTCTGACAAATGAAGAGTTAGGTTTAAAAAGTCACAGAAGTAGGCCTTCCACCTCCCAAATGTTAGCATTAGATCGCATTGCCACAAATTGATGTGTGTTGGTCATTTCATAGGTGTACTGGATAAAGCCAAATCACACATCTTCAAAGCTTGAGACATCAGCAAGAACTTTATTGCTATTGCATGAGACATCAGATTTAAAACTAAACAAAAGCCAAAGGGGAGGTTCACCTTCTGCTGTATGGCATGGAGCAGATAACATCTGGCTTCAGATGACTAACTGAAGGTGGTCGTATGGGACTGCACAGAAATTTAACTTACTCAGAGGTTTAGAAATAGGAGGCCTTGAAGAACATTCACCAGTTGGACTGCATGTGCAATGACAGAAGCACGACTGGCTCATCGAGTCACGTTTTACTCCACTGCATTCTCCAGCCTCTGCCTAAAGAATCAGTTAATACTTCAGTTCATGACTCAACAGAGACACTTCTATACAGGCCTGAAAAATTACATCAGAATTCACAAACTAGTGTTATAAGATGATGAACAGCGAATGCTTCATTCAGTTAACACTGATCCTAATTCAATACATTTAATCTTCAGTAACAATGTATTTTTTATAAGTGTTCAGACTGGGGGGGGGGGGATCAAATCAGGAACAAAGCACAAAAAGGAACTGTTAACACGACCCTCCCTACAAAATATAAAATTTGCGTTCGCTTCCAATTCAGACTGCCTGATGACATGGCAAAAATCGCCTGTATGCCTTGCTACCATTTCTAGGGTACACTATGTTTCACTCATCCTATTTTTTATTCTCTCTTTGAGCATCTGCCATTGGAAACGGTATAAATAATGCTCTAATTGTAGCTTTAGAGTTGACCCAGCAAGAGAGTCATCCTCTTGTTATTCACTCTGATATAAATATAGCTTACATATGTGTTTGGGATGAGGCAGATCCAGTTATGTCTTCTGTAATACATCCCAATCAATTTTAGTTTCTTACTTCCCAAGCCTGTCATGATGCAGGTGAGAAAGTGAGCCTAATGAATAGGCAGTTCAGCCAAGCAAAAAATACCAGTTGTCACCCAGAAACTCTGGCCAGTCTGCAGTGTTTCAGAATGAACCTCGTACAGACTGTGTGAATCAAGAAAAACACCACTTTAGATGGAGAAAGTAGAGTTTGAGTTTAGCTCAGCAATCTGACCGTGCCTGTCCACTTTGTACCAAGATGGTGCAATTCTGTTTGAAGAGTAATATGCTTAGGCCAGAGCAGCATCTTCTCAGAAAACCATTTACTGTCCTGCCTGCCATAGAGACAGCTCAGACTGCTATCCTTTAAGATGAAAAGACATCAGGTTGAAGTCTTGTACAAAATGCAACCAACTTTAGATCTTGTATTTCAACATATCACAGCATCGAACTTATAAAGCACACCTAACAAAATCAAAGTCTTTAAAGGCAACAAGAGATAACAGCAGTCAGCAACCATACAGAAAAAAAGCACCTTCTGGGAACATACACATTTTTATAAGGCTAATCAGCACACTAACAAAAGACCACTAGAAGTCAGTATTTAGACATTTATTTCAGATATGCAGTTTACACGCATATTATTGAGCAAAACTGAATTGCAAATATACAAATACTGTAACAAGCATTATCAAATAACGTAACTGGCACTAGTGTTATAAGCACATTACTGAAACTGGTGAGGCTAAGTCATGGAAGAGGACTGCAGCTGATGGCATTTTCTTTTTATCCAACCAAACTTCCAGTAGCACCATAATGGCAATACATGAAACACAAGACAGAACATTGTTAACTGTTACTCTGGTTTTTTTTTTTTTCTTCATTTTAGTGAATTACATAGCAAAAAAAATCTTAACAGTGCAGGCGCTTTGGCCAACTTCAGCTTGTGTTCAGCTGTACATCTTCCATATGCGAAAGGAAAAGAAAAAAGCCAGCATATTTGGAACCCATCTTTGCACTTGGGCAGTCATTGCACTGCACTTTGATTCTGCATGTCTTGCAAAGAGATGTCATGTCCACTAAAGCCTGAGTGAGTCTTTGGTAGGCTAATACTTCATTATTATTATACATTTATTTACCACAGTCATTTTATTCACTAGAATTTTCTTTTGTGATCCAAGGTGGCCAAAGAGGACATTCTGGAAAACATTACAGTAAAATCCTCAAACGACCAGGCACTTCAAACCCAGTCTTTTCCAAAGGCACCAAGAATTGATGGGGCACCGTTTTCCCCCCTAATGAAAGGTGACTGCATCTGCTTTTCTACAATGCTTATAAATCACTGGATTGTTATTTTACAATTTTTATACACTATATAGTAGCCTTATCTGCTGCATGGTTGGTTGCATGAATAAATAAGTAACCCCACTGTTCTTCACAGGTGATGTCTCCATTTCACCACATACTAAGTACCAATTTCTTCTGTTTCAAAATTATGTAAAATGCCATAACCTTGCTCAAAGTGTACACGCATACAAACACTTCTGACACAGGCTACATCCATCTGAAGATATGCGGTTCATTCTACATGCATTCTAAATACAGTGTGTCCAGTTATGAAACAAAATTATCATTACGAATATTCACTGTTGAAATATGTTTGTATAGGTCTCTGCAAAACTTTTGCTTCCCTTAAATAGAGTTCACACAAGAATGGTTTTAAGTCACTAACACTCAGCTAACACCCATTTATCCCAAACCCCATATTTTCCAAGTGAACAGTGCAGGACATACTCATTTCAGCATTTAACATATTAAGAATTTACCAATTTTTACCTAAATACACCAAGTATATGCTTTCAAGCAAAGTTGTGGCAAAAATACAAAACATGGACGTATTTGTACTGCTGTAATGCACTTGGTTAAAGCCTTCATGTCTCTTCACACAGGTCTAAGATCCATATGAAGTATTTTGCCTTATCAGACAAGTATATATAAAATGCAGTTGTATCAAAACCTTGCTTCTGCTGGTCACCTGAAACTTACGGAACTCGCATGTAATTCAACCAGCTTTCAGACAGGGTTCTTTAGTGGTAAATATATTTTTGCAGCACTTACAGGCTTAAATTTCAGTCTGAATAGCAGTGCTTAATTCCACAGCATGTTCTGAATGGTTGTTGTTTGTTTCTTTCAGTGTTTCACCAACACCTAAATCTACGTCTTTCGAAGATCCATTATTAATGCTTTCCTCAGCAATGTAACTCAGCTGTGGAACATCAGTGCTTGGGGCTATTGGAACAGGCGCAGGGATTCCACTTGGCTGTGGAGAGTTTTCCAAGCGATCATTTTCCACCTCTGGGAGAGCACTGACTGTGGTAAAGCGAGTGTGGTAGTCGCTGGAACCATGGCTACAGGAAGTTTTCATACTTTCCATATCTGAGCAACTAAACTCAGAAAAATGACTCGAGTGAGAATCTGCTACAGATGGAATACTATCGCTAAGAGAGGGAGAGTCAAATTCACTGGAGTTTGTGCTTTGCTGTTCCAACAGCTGAGCATCCATGTCCTCTCTTGTCTCATTTATCTTCATGCTACTCTTCTTTCTCAGCTTACCTTTACATTTTTTTCCTGCTGTTGTTTCTTTGGACCACTTGGTGGCACTAGATTTACTTTCTGGCAAGCAGGCCGATGAACCACCGGCATTACTACGACCTGCAGCACTGCCATCATCAACACTACTGCTTCCGCTGTTGTGTCTGAATTTGGCTGGCTTTGATTCAATATCCACTTGCACTTCCATACTGTTGCCTTCCCTAGAACAAGAAAGAATCCGTGAGTGTAAGTGGTCCTCTAAGACAAGCCAGCTAACACAGCAAAACAAACTCTTACTGCTTTCCAAGATACATATCAAAAGAAAGTTAGAGAGATGTAACTTGTTTTAGAAAAGTTAAGTGTTTAACCAAATAAACAACCCAAAGAAAAACAAAGTCTGAAAGATCAAACACTACTGAGCTACAGTGATGGTGCTCCTCTTTGGAAATAACCTTGGCAAATATAAGCAGTCACATGTAATTCAATTTGTAACAAAATTTGCAGTTTCAAAGCGTAATCGTTAAAGCTGAGGCATGTTTAGAATATCCTTTAATAACAAGGCTTATTAATCTTCTGTTTTCACCACATTTCTCTTACCTGTCCAAAGGGATGTAAGAGTTCAGAATGGATCCTGCCATTGCTTTGGTACTGGCATTATCACTAACTGTTCCCAAGCTAACTGTACCAGATTCTCCACTCAGACTGTATTGTTCTTTCTGCACATCTGCTTGTACTTCCAGTCTTGGAGAGAAAGAAAAAGAGGTGCATATACTGCTGCTACAGTCAAAGCACACTAGTTGAAAATTAATGTCACCTTGTAGAGTTTCTCCACCATTCAGTAGTAAGTAGAGTTTATTAGTTACTCCAGTACAGATCCGCATATTTACCCTACCGAAACAGCTTCTCTCTTCCCACTGTCAAAATGATTATTTTCTGATAAAAACAAAACAAAAACACCCAACAGCAAAACCAGATTAATTTCCCAAGAAAGCAAAATGTTGCATGTTAACCAGAGGTTCTGGATTCTTTCCTCCCTGAGATTTACAAGAACAACTTCCAGGCTTAGCTACAATTCTTTTGCAGATAGTGTACTGTACTTTAAAAATGGAAAAAACAATCAGAAGGGTACATAAGTTCAAGACATTATAGTTCCCCTGTTTCTCCAGCTGCAGAATTATTATTAATCAAATAACAGGCAGGGAACTGCCTTCTGTACTCCGCTTTATTTATTGTTATCAACGGCAACAGGAATAATAGAAACCTGAGCAATCTTAAGTCGGGCAGAGCAGATAATCAAATGATAAGCTTTTTTCGAAATGCCTTTATCTATGTTCTGACAGTGAATTGGAGGTGGTTTAGTAGTTTTTTGTTTTGTTCTCCACTCTCAGCTCTTTAAAGAAGAGGATAGGTATATCTCACTCAGCAGGCTTGAAAGACATAAGGAAACTCTTGATGATATCCTACCCTCTTTATTCTATATAGCCTGGACTCCAGAATTACTGAAGAAAATGAGCAGTGTTAGCACCTGACTTAAAAGAGCAAATTCTACCCTGAACCCTCAATGTTAACAATCCTTTCCAGACACTCCCTTTCTCTTCAGGGTGCAGGTCAGCCAACAAACAGCAAGGCCCCAATTCACAGGAGGCATCGAGCATGTAAGTGACAAGAAGTTGCCACCTCAGCAAGGCCAGGTGCCCAGCTGCCTCCCCTCCTGCCCAAGTCCATTTTGAATCCACACTCCAGGTACAGCTTAGTACTTGTAGACTACTGATTCAAGTCAGCAGTTCTGATTTTGGGGTGAGATACACCGGAGAACACGACTGTGTTAGACATGAGGTGCCTCCCTCTGACTCCTGGGTAGAGGCTGCTCTCCCAGGAAGCAGGAGAACAAGATCTCAGGCCTCACTCACCCTGAAAAAGATTCAAACTCTTCTTTGAGGATTGTGGTCTGGCAGGATCTCTTGGAAATCAGCAAGTTCGTCAGAAATGAATTGAGACAGTTCCTTTTAATAGGAACCAATTTAAAAAAATAAAAATCAAAAAACCTAGTAAAACCATTTCCTCTGCTTACATTTAGAGCAGGATACTGTACGGTAGAAAGCATGTCTCTTACCTATTAAAGCAGTTAACCATTGCACTTCCTGAGAGACTCCCTGTTATACTAGCCCCAGCCAGGGCCATGGTACTAGCCGTTTCACTTAGGTTGTCTCGAATGGCTCCTATTCTATCCATGTGGCTGCCACTTGCACTCAAGCTGCCAGTCAGTCCTCCAACGCTTCCTTCGCCTATGCTAGGGTTATGACGTGCCTCTGCTACTGAAGTGGTATCTAGACAGAAATAAAAAAGGCTTGTCAGTTATGGAAGTAGAACTTAGTAGTTTCTAGAATGTGACCATGGAAACCGTTCCTGAAATTATGCTGAGAAAGAGGATTTATAAAACATACCATGACAAAAAGATAACTTTGTCAAAAAAAAAAAAAGAGAAAGAAGTTGGTTGAAGTTCCTGTAATTGTTATGCCTGACATCACATACCTGTTTTTTGGTATCTTAAGTATCTTAAGGACAGGTAACATGGAGTCAAGGAAAACAAGAGAGACCCTATCACAAAGGATATAAAAATAAAATAGCACCAGACCAGCATTTAGTTCCCCCTATTATAGATAAAAAGATGAAAGCCAGCAAGCTTCCACAAACCAGTATTCTGAAAAAGCAACATTAATTTTATCTTAAAACTTTTACCTACAGAAAAGACTTTACTCAAGTCTGGCTTTGATTCAAATGGGCAAGAAAAGCTTTAATGCTTGTATTACAGCACAACATGAACACAGAGAAGCTATCCTCATCTGAGAGCTGGTCTTTCAGCAATGAGTCGAGGTAGTCCTAACTGTATAGTACCTCTTCTGCAAATAAGTACTCTAGTATCTAAGGCCATCAAATATAAGTCACAAAGCCCAAATTTATAGAAAATGAAACACAAATTTTCTTACCTACAGCTGCATTTGTTCCACCAACATTTATATCATTTTCATCATCAAATTCTATCCTGACACCTTTTCCATTGCCTGCTGACACACCACAGCCTCCACTTCGGCAGAGGGAAATTGGAACAACTCCATACACGTAAGCCAGCATAATAGGAACACCAATACCTACAGAGGAAAGTACAGTCTTTCATTAAATGTGACTTATATTTTAGAGCCTTTCATAAAAGCGATTTCATTTTCCATGATTACTTAATATTTCACACTTGAAAGAAATCAGGAGGGTGCAAAATTAAGAAATTTTGGTAAATCACTAAGGTGAAATGACAGGAAAGTACTTTCAGCAGGCAGAATGTCCTCTATCAGCATTGGTAGGCAGAGAAGCTTAATACTTGATGAATTAATACTTCCAGTACATCCATAACATCTTTTACAAACAAAATGAAAATACTTTAAAGGTTCATATAAGCTCTATTGGGGACTGTAATAATGTTCCACCTAAGAAGCAGAAATAGCAGAGATCTATTTCAAATGTTATTCAACTGAAAACGTTACTACTACCTCTACTAATTTAGTAAGGGGCTTGACTTTGCATCCACTAAGTCAGACAGGGCTTTGCTATCAATTTAATAGGACTTAACATTATTATTACTGTGGGATCTTTCACATTTATTGTATCACACTGATTCAATTTAAAAATTTTAATTATACAAGTTTTCCTTAAAAGTAAACAATTCTGTGGAGCTGAGTGGCAGGAGTTAAGGGAAATCAGTGAAAGGAACTCTGGGCTAAAGCGCCCGCAGATGTACACACACATCCATACCACCACTTCTAATGGTCTGCGGAAGTTACTCCTTTGGCATATGAATTAAACCATTCTATGGCTTTGCTGATGGAAGTACACAGAAGGTACAGAAAAATGGTAGAAAAATGACAAGCTGGCACATTCTGAAAAAGCCAGGACAGAGGCAGATCCAATGCAAAGGCTCCTCCGTCTGACCTAAAAGAAGGGTTCCATTTATAAGAAGTCCCTTTCACTAGAAATTCCTCAGCATTCAAGGAGGAAATCTATATTCTCAAGGTCATTATTTTGGAAGCCATATAATACCCTGAAACTGGAGGCCATGTATTAATAGCAATGGGGCAAGAGTAAAAAATGCCACAACTGCTTTCCCTAAAAAGCCAAGGTTTATCTCTGGTCAGCAATAAGAAATAGCTCGAAAGAATGAGGTAAAGCAGACCTATAAATACATTTATGAGACTTTGTGTCCCACTACCTGTTTAGTGGGGATCTGACACCACAGCTACATGAGAACAATGTAATGCAGACAGACATGAGAGACAGTTTTATGACTACCATATCTGCATTTGCACAGTGGTCCACCATTTTTAACAAGCAGTTTAGAGCCACAGCTTCACGGCCAATTTAAACCATCACTTGCTAAAAGTGACCCTGTCTTCCTGAGGCCACTCATTCCTCTCTGAGCATTACTTCTGGCACAAAGGGGAACACTGCATACAAAACTGCGTGATGAATCAGATCGGGGGACTGATCCAGCTTAAAACTAAATGGTGGGTCTTAATGTGAATCAGTTATCCATGGCAGCTTACTGTGCAACTGTAAAGATGCCTGTGCTGCAACAAAAGAGAAGCAAGGCAGCGCTGGGCAAGTCCACGACTTTTACAAAAAAGAAAAAAAAAAAAAAAAAAATTATCAGGGTTTTTTTACAGTGATCTTGAAATTACATGGTAAGACGACAACTATTTTGTAGTATACAGCCAGATTTTCCTCAAGTGCTATCCTCAGCAATCCCTATGAAAAAGAATGTGATAGAATTCAAACTGACTCCCAGAACATAACAAATAGTTTGTCAACTACTGTCATGTTAAGTGTAAGAGACTGTATTTTTCCTCTGTGTTGAGCAACGTTTGATATGAAGTTATTCAAATACGAATAGACACTGTGGCAACACTTCTTCTTGGTCAGTCATTTAAAAAAAGCTTTAAATACTTCAGTTTTAAAAGCCAGATACGACAATGTGGAAACTTCAATTTGCAAGACAAAAATTATTTTTAATTCTTCATTTTAATGCAGCATTTCCTGAAGTACTGTATTCTCCATTCTGTCCCAATAAATGTATAACCTCAGACTCCTCGTTGTCTCAGTTCCTTCACCTATAAAAAGAAACTATAGGACTTATCTCAGCTGTTTTATTCACAAGTGCTTATAGACTTCTGCTTGCAAGGTGCTACCAATATACAAAATATTACTATTTGCTTACCCACAGTTACTGCAGCTACAACTGGAGAAACAATTACGGATAAGGTTACACCACCTGCTATAGCCAAGTTTCGCTTGTGCTTTGAAATGTCTTTGCCTTCATATCGATTGTGAATCTTGAGAGAAGAAAAGAAGAAAAGGTTTTTTAAAGTATTATCATCATCAATAATATATTGCTGCAAGGATGGAAGAACTGACATATAATAGTTTGGAATCTGTACCCTGCTCTCTTCCAGAGAGACCACATTCTATGTCATGGTTTACTCCTTAACTTATCTCAAAGAAAAGAAAATTTAACATTTCTTAATTTTAGGCAACTTCTTCGAAGTTAGAAGTCCTCCCATCCAGCAACTAAGCATTTACTTTCACCGTCAAGTTAGAAGAGCTAAATCATTGAACAGCTTTGTTTGTTTAATCATTACTCCAGCTTACATGGTTGGGATTAGTAGACAATTTTCAGGATCAAAGAATTACCAAATCTGATTAAATTGACACTTCTTATTCCCAGCCATCTTTCCCCTGAACAATACGAAGTGAAACTTTCACAGATTATTAGATCCATGGACACAGAGGTTGACATAACAGAGCCATGAAAATCTTGTAGTAAGGCAGCCTTCATCAAACATATCCTGTGAGGGGGAGAGCAAGAACGCCGTTGCTCTGGCACCCTCTCAAGACAAGCTCTTGAGACAGGAAATATTTTAGCAAACCTGAGTCTTAGCTGTGCTATTTTACTGAGGAATCTGCTAACCAAAACCCTTATTGATGGTTCAAGTCTGCAATAACTCCGAAATGTGACTGCCTCAAACTTATCTGCTGCAAATCCCACATGAACCTGAAAGGCCTTCAAAGATCACTGTTTTACAGAGATTTCCTACTTTTTGTGTGTTTCATTTACTCTCTCTAGGAACATGGCTTTTCAGGGATATGCACTTCATCTGTCATCATTCTTGGTTAAGACATATAATTATAAAGGAACAATAGGTCGCTATTTTAATGGTTGTCATGAGGCTAAGTTAATCCTCACTACATCTAAGGAGGAACACAAAAGAGTACTAAGAGGATAATCACAGTATTTTTGTATCGACTTGGTACCGCAAAAAGAATGACAAAAGTGAGCTGGAGGTTTTATTAAATGTTGCACTTTTTAAATTATAATTTCAATTAGAGATTTGGTAGGGTAGTTCTCATTTTGGAATAAACTTAAAGTATTTGTATTTGTTCAGGCAAGACAGGCAAGGAAAGGGCAGAGAAGACACTGCACTTCGTATAATGAGAATGCATTTACTTGCTCTGAAGTACGTTACACAAAGAGCAACACAGAGTGAGGGAGCACTTGAATGTGGAACATACCTATGCATTAAAAAGGAAAAATTGAACATGAACACTCTCATAGTACAAGCGTGTAAGAATTACAAACTCAGGAAGATGAGGTTTCATGGGGCTCTCTAAGCAATTAGCAGGATCACCTCAGGCACTGAATTTTACTGTTATGGGCAACTTTAACTACCGAAACAAAAAACATACAACAAAGAAATCTATAAAGGCTACTGGATTCCTTAAACATAACGCAACAAAAAGGAATGGAAGGGAGTGGTTACAGAGGAGAAACTGATTGAAAACATGAAGGTAGAAGGTTACATTGGTAGGAATGACTATGAAATAAGAGATTTCTAAATATTGAGTAAAGAATAAAGAATATCCAAATAAAAATACTGGGCCAGAAGAAGAGGGATTTCCATAAACGCAGAAAACTGGTAGGTTACAAGACTTATATCTATAAAAAGAGAGGACTAGCACTTCCTTAAGGTAACTATCAAAACACAAGCACAAACTCTTCCAATGCAGAAGACAGAATGTTCTAAGAGAACAACGAAGCTTCCTTTACTGAAGCAGCAGCAGCGTAAGAAAACAGAAAGTAGGTCAGATTATTATGAATGGGTATAAAGGAACAGCATGAGGGTATCAGGACAAAAATCAGAAAGGTTAAAATACAGGAGACAAAAAGCAAGGGACATCAAAGTCAAAAAGAAATTATTCTACAAGTATACTGCTAGTAAGAGGAAGACCAAAATGGATCAATTTGTTATTTAACAAAAAGGAAAGCCAGACAGCGGATGAAACTGGAGGCCTGTTCATTTTTTTTTCCCCTTCAGTAGTCACTAAAGATCAACTGTGAGCCAGGTGACTGGTGACAAAGGAAAACAGCAGGTTAGAGTGTACTTACATGAGCTGATCTGAAAAATATCTCAGCAGGCCCAATTTCAGAGCCCCAATAATAATTTTTGAAAATTATTATTCATAGAAGATGTCTGAAAAAAAAAAAATCAGGAAAACTGGAAAAAGTTAAGCTGCAATGATAATCTTTAAAAAGGCGTAAAACAAGAAGCTGGGGAATTAAAGAAGTTCAGTGAACTGAACTTCAATTTCCTGAAAACTGGAAACTTGTAGACATCAAAGCAGATGCAGGAAATAAAGAGGCCACGCTGATTTTTTTCAAGTAGAAATCACGTCAACTTAATTTTCTTCTGTGACTAGATAACTAGCCTTGAGGATGGGGAGAAGCAGATGTCATGCACTGACTTGAACAAAATTTTGACATTTTCTTGCATGACATTCAACAGGTTGTAATGGTCCAGACTGAAAAATGGACTAGAGAAAAATACTATTAGCTTCATGTAAAACAGATAGAAAACATCCAAGTTGTCATTAGTTTTTTTTACTCCCTAAATTGAAACTCTCCACCCTATACTTTTCCAAGAGATATGCCCTGGATCCAAAAGTATTCAACATTTTCATTAACCTGGAAGATGGAAGAAGAATGTGCGTGTTCAATTTATGGCCTGAAATGAATATGATGCAGCACAATGGTAATGAGTTCAAGACTACCCTTAGGAAGAGACCAATCGCCTAAATTACCAGTACGGTGGGGAAGGGTACGTGTTTTAGAGTACACAAAATAAAAATAGCATGTAGTTGAGAAAGAGATAACTGGCAGTTATACGCACAGGACCACCCTTTCATTTAACTCCGCAGTAGTAATGCTTCAGCTTCACTGCTATATTCAAACTGGACAAAAACAAAGGTGATACGAACAATTGGAAGGAAATCCTGAAAAGAAGATGAGAATCAGATCTGAAACAGTGTGTCTTCTTGACAGTTTATCAAGAAAAACTGGAAGTGCTAGGTTTTTTTAGAGATAAGAATGAAAGTGGACTTAAAAATCATCAAATATGTAATGGGATATTGCAAAGCAAAAGGATTCTTTATGTCAGCTGAAGATAGGGCAATAAGAATTTAGTGTAGGAAGAGAATTTACATTAACGTTAAAAAAATTAATTTTACTAAGAAAATTAGGCTTGGAGAGCCTGTGGAATCTCCATCATCAGATGCTTTGAAGAAAGGAGTCACAGAAAAATGACCATTAAGCAGTGGGGTACAATGGAAATTCTCATGAGGCTGCCCTCACAGACTAACTTTCTGAGACTTTACCATTCACATGTGAAAGGTGCTCAGTGATGGGGACCTATCCCAAAATCTAGTAAGAAAAGCAGAACGTGCAATAGGGATTTGAAACAGGTAACTGCTGCCTTCTTCCTCTTATCATTTATAAGGTTGCAATGACTGTTTGGGATTAAGACAAAACAGAATAGAAGGGCCAAAAACCAACTGTAGCAGAAGGTAGGAGTACTTGCTTGAAAGAAAAAGATGAAAAAGAATACAGTGGAAGAGCCACATCCCTGGACTTCTTGTCTAGCATCATTTCAAAAAACTCATTTCCAAAAGATCTGGATAACTTACTACTTTATCCTAAATTACAAATAGTAGATGTAGTTATCTTTCTTTTTCCTTGCAATCTGCCATTTACTTTATACTAAAAGCTATTATATTTTTGAGAGGAAATACATCAACTGCCTTCTGATTAATATGGTCATTTCTAGCCGATTCCCACAAACGGTAAAATGAAGATAGATGCTGTCTGGCTACCTGCACTGAACACTGCTCCACATGGTGGACTGGCCCAAGGCAATTAACAAGCTGCTGAGTATAAATACTTAAATGTGTGCATGCACAAACCTATACTAGCAGAATTTTATACTAAAATACTGGTAACTATCTGCTTTTAAGAAAAATAAGAAGGATTTTCTTTTTGCCTTCTTTCTCCTCTAAATATTGTTCAATTCTAAGGGAAACCAGAGATTAAAAACAGAGCAATTTTGAAAAAGCATGCAAGAACTTCTGTGGCGAGATGCAGAAATTGGAAATTGTTTGGTGTTTTGCTCTGCCTGTTTTAAGAGGAACTACATTCTTAAAAACACTGCTTCTCCTGCCTGTACAATTGAAACAAATATCCTTAAACAATTCAGGGGTTGGTTTGTTTGGTTTTTAGGGGGTGGTTTGGTTTTTTTTTTTTTTTTTTTTTTTTTTTTTTTTTTTTTTTTTTTTTTTTACAGGCTGGTGAAAATAGCCAACTGAACATAGTATTACCCACAACATACCAGACATGCAGAAGGTAAAATCTGAAGCATGTTAGGAGTTGTAGCACATTTTACCTTACGTCCCACATACACAGGAATTCCAATAATCATAGCAGGAATAGCAATGCCAGCTATTAAGGCAATTCCTACAGGAGCTCCAACAAGTGTCCCTAGTTGCCACAGTATTTTCTTCTTACGGCTCCATGGTTTCTTTCCCCAAAATGTGCAACCTGATGGGCTAATAGAAAGAAGTAAGAAAACTGAAGAAATTGTAAATAAATCAACACAACTATACACTACTGAACTGTTCTCTAGCTACAAAATTATTGTTCTCAGGTTCAAGTTACAGATGTTATTGATACCAAATCACCAGTTATAATTCTTCAGATTTTTTTTTGCTTTTACAGCGTATTTTGCAATGTAAAGAGAAGCATATTGCATATTACCACATGCCAATCTGTGTAATTTATATATCAGAGGTTTTATATTGGTTACTATGAAGACAATACAGCAGTATTAAGACATCAGTAAAAATAGTGGGTGTGTTCATCTAAAACACTTCATTTGTCGTACTAAGTACACATTGCATGCATGAAACCTAGAAAAGTGTTTTAAAAAAAATAACAAAGCACTAATTTAAATACATGCATTGAAAACTAACTTAATTCTCAGATATGGATACTTCAACTGTGATTCTCTACTCCAACAGGAAGAAAGCCAGACTTACAGCACCCAGGAATCTATTTCTATATACGTTAGAAAACAAGTTACCAACCACATAGATTTTTTTTTTTTCTTAAATGTACCTTAAATAATGTAAATCTGAGATCTCTTTCATACATAGCCAACAGAATTCACAGCCACAGACAGCACAGGTCATATGATTGCAGCTTCCATCATTCATTTTTATTATATAAGCAGCACAGCGTGGGCATGGCTTTATGTCATCAGCTGTTTAAAAATGAATATTAAGATCATATCAGTTCTTTAGACAAGCTGATTTCATCAAAATATAGACATATGTTTGAGAAAACTGATTGAACCATTATCTGAAAAATGGAAGAAGTTTATTTTAAGTTTGCTTTACAAATCCTGATTTGGCGATGCCTTGATAGCCATTTGTATTTGTAAACCTTGGATCAAGTAAAACTAATGAAAACCATGGCATATTAGATCACATTCAAGTAATTGAATAGTTAATCCATACACTCTGTTCAACAATTTTCTAAGCTTAATGCAATATATATTAGAGTCGGACATTAAATATGTATGTTAATACAGGACTGATAATATGGTCTCTTTAAATATAATCCTCTTCTACATTTCATGCTGTGATGAATCTTTTACTTGAATATTCAGTCTCCACTCTGTTATTTCTTCTTCTTCTTATCTTAAATCCATCTCCCCTTCCATATTAAGTGCATTTCTTTGGTATCACCAACCTCCTCTTGAGTCCTCTTCACAGCCCTACTTAATATTTACTTACTCCCTAGGAAAAAAAATACTGTAGCAAAAAGAAAATTCCGGAGGTTCTCCTTGTTCCCAAGTCAAATATTGAAAAATGTGGTTAAGTGACTATCTCTATCATTAACAAACAAGGGGTCGTTGAGCAACAGTGAAATACTTGTATACTGACACAACCATAGTTGTGATCTTCGTTCCTTTACATTACTGGTTAGCATCTGCACTTTGGGACAAGCTATTTACTCAGAGCAACAGAAATAACTTGCATCTCCTAGTGCTGAAGTCCAAGTTTACTGCCTCTGTGCTACTAGGTAGGACAAAGGAAAAAGAGGGGTTATACTTGGTATAAAGAATATCCGAAGAGGTGCAGAACCAGCAGAAACAGTACCTCTACCAACTCCAGTGCAAAAGGACAGGGAGCAGCTGAAAGGATGCACTAGCTATTCTCAGATGGGAACAGATGCACAACCTACAGGGCAGTAACTAAACTGAGCAAGTTCTTACAGCATGGGCATGGCAGAGCTACTGCTGTTCATGCTGGGAGTGACTGAAAGGGCAAGGAAAGGCACTGGCATGCTAATTTATTTAAAGTTTATTTTAAAATTTATTTGAAAACTAGAGCAAGATGCCAATTTTTAAGACAAGATGGAGTGCCTTGTTAAAATGAGCCAGCACAAACAACAGATTAGACACTCCCAAGTCTAGGGCTGGATTGGAGAACGACAGTTCTAACTACACTCAAAGTGCAAGACAGAATCTTCTCTCCTAGCATCTACCTTGTTTGGTCAGGCAGACACAAAAGCTGCCAAATAGATCAGAGTTTGGTGAAACTCAGAGCCAATTCTTACCAATAGCAAACTGGACTCTTGCTCTGCAAAATACTACTCTGAATAGTTTATCCTCTTTTTTGGGGGGGTTACAAAAAAATTCAATTTTAAGAAGATGGAATTGTTAGCTTTCCGGTAGCCAAGACAAATGAGCGCTTTATTGAAAAACAGAAGTTAGTACTAACAAACAGATGTCAAACTTCAGAGCTGGCATCAGACTAATAGTCTCTTTTGAAAGAAAAAAACCAGTGGTTTTGAGTTTTATTTTTAACAGCTTTTATTATTAGCAGCCCTGTGAAATTTCACCTGCAGTGGAGAAAATAAGTGTTCCGAGTGTGTAAGTGATACAACTAATGAAGTCAGCCTGCCCAACACAGAGAATGTTTTGCAGCAAGTTCCTTTGACTTCACATTTTTCAGCTACAAAGGAAGAATTTAAAATGCTGACAACTCTGTAAGATTGAAGTCAGGTGCTGTGGTCACCGAGTATTTCAAATTATAACATTTAAAATTTTAATTCAAACTTAAAATTGTATATTTTATGTTTCTGAAAGACAATGCTACTATTCAGTTCTTTCCTTTTCAGAGTTAATTGTACAAATGTACTAAAAAGATACTTTACAGACACAGTATCCTAATCATAAATACCTGCTGCTCCAGATTCCTGGCTGTAACTAATAGATGAAGAACGAATTGTTCTGAGGCGCAGACTTTGAGCTCTCTCCTGGCGAGCAGCATCGCAGGTCTGGTTTGGATGCCAAATCTGCTTACAGTGGTAGCAAAACTCAGTTCCACAGCCTTCTCGTCCACACGTAAGTTTGGGACAGCTGGCACATCCAAAAGCGATCACAGCATATCTTGAATGATCAAGAAGGGAAGAGAGAGTTTTGTTAATAAAAACAGTTCTATCTATAGACCGAAGCAGGCAACACAGCTGCCAGAGCAGCTGAAGCAGATACAAAGGCAGTAGACATCAGGAGTTGACAATAGGTGGCCAGCACAGGTTCCTTACCACCTCCTTTCACAGCTCTATCACTATTGCATTAGACTAAGACCGTACAGAAATACTACAATCAGTGTAACACTTTGCTCTACCCCATCTTAATAACTTCATGCAGTACTGAAATATACTGTATTTAAGGCTGAATGCAGTACTGTAAACTTTACGTTCACAAAGCAAACACAGTTTAGAAAAGTGGGACAATAAAACCAAAAAAGGTATTTAAGCAACTAGAAAAAGTTACAGCTTCAAAAGTGTCCCAGTCACTATGGGCATGTCTAAGCCTGACCCTTTCTCTAATCTGGGAGGATCCCTGCTAAGTGATCTGTAGTGTGTAATCTATTACTGTAAAGGCATCTGACTTGGTACTGCATGACATTTTAGCATTTTACTGGTTGCCTTTTATCATGAATACCACTATCCACTTTAAATAGATGTTTGTTTACTCTTTATAGTTTAAAATGTCAAAACAACAAAGCAAGTATTTTATAAATAAGGATTTTGGTTTCTCAATTATTAAGACAATTTTTTTTGACAATTTTTTAAATACATTTCAAACTGTAAATGCAGAAATTGATAAGAGTTCAGGGCCATTGCCACCTTTACGCTCACAATAATACAGAGCAAAAAGCTCCAAAAATGTTGAGACTTACAAAATGGTGTTACACTATTTTTTAACCAGACACTACATGAACAATTCTATAGAATGACAGAATTGTTACCACAAATCAATTCCTTCATCAGGTTTGCATTTTAAAATTCACATGCTAAAAATACAGACAATGTGTATTATAGTTCATATTAATACTAAATATATATACACATGAGCCTTAATTCCTACCCGTTGTAATTTTTTTCAATGATGTTATGCAATAGCTTTCTTTTAAATAGAGAACAATACTAGGTCCTCTGGTATGAACACTTAAACCACATCTATACTTTTATTCATGTGAACAGTCCCCCTGAACAGACTTCAACAGATTTATAAACGCAGCAGGGCTTAAGTTTATGGCTGTTCAAGTGGAGGTAATTTTATTTTAAAAGATAAATTGTTTATTTTTACCCCCTGCCCAATTTATAGCAGTTGCATAAAATTAACTAAAATATTCTTTATCAGTAATGATACTGAAAAAATTATTCCCACTCACATATCTAAAAAGTTAGCTATTTTAATTTTAAAGGAGCTACATCTGAAGCTCTGGGAAGTCCTATCCCTTTCATTAAGTGTTTTAAAACAGCATGTTTGAGGTCCCCCCCCAGTTCTGCAAACAAATAGGAGTTTTCAACCTTTAATTTACAGATGATGCAGTTACAAATAAAAATGAGATACGCTTGTCTGTTTTCAAATATTTCTTACTTTCCAAGTAAAAATTTGTTTCAATAATTGCTAGTCTCTTCTATATTATTGCCAAGTTAATCAGCTCTATTTTCCCACTTACAGCAACTGAAGAGATAATGGCTTTCTATATACACAGACTCTGATCCAAACGCTTCTTCAACATACAGGGATACATCCAAAACTCACTAATGTTATATCAAAGAATCTCAAGCGTAGGCCACAGAATGAAGCATCAATTTATATCCTGCCTCCCGTTGCTATTCAATGGGCGCACCCCCGAAAGCACTCCCCATTTGGGATTGATGTATTGGCATACCTTTAGAAAGTGACTTTTTAGACTAGGGCAAATCTCAGTTCAAACTGTACAAGATTACAGGTTTAATTTCAACATTTTGCATTCATTTACAGGTGATGTGAAAGCCAAAAGTTCTTGTTAGGCTTGTTAGAGAAGGGACAACCAACCAAATTCAGTAATAACAAGTAAAACAAAAAACAGAGGCAAAGAGCAATTAACTGAAGAAAGGATGTACAGTGAGAAGAAAAGGACAATGAAGAATTTGTACTCTTTTGCCCAATCTGCTTTTTGCTTGACAAAGATAAGGAAATGTAGGAATCGCTGCTCTCTTCTAATAATGTCAGCAATACAACCTCACAGCAAAACCATTAAATAATTCAGACAAGAAAAGACAGAACACATCTGGAATACTGATTCACTAAGGCTTGTTAAAATGACATTGGAAAACAGATATGAAGAAACAGAATCTCAAAAAAGTAGTCTGGAACAAAGCCCAAGAGGTTTGCTTATCCATGGCTCGTTCCCCAGGGAAAGAACACCTATTTGCCAGTTTCCCCTACCAAGCCACTGCAGGTAGGCTGCAGCTGGCCCAGACTTTTACAGGATTTCAGGTAACAACAGTCAGGATGCATTTGAGCTTGCAACAAAAGCCAAGGATGAAGTAGCCCAGAGTCAGAAAGACCGTGATGCCAGCGGTATGGACCATTTCTGGCATTAGACTGCTTTAGTGCTGGAGACCCCACAGCTCCCAGGCAGCTCATCCAGTGCATAACTACTGCAACAGAGGTTCTCCTCCAAACGGTTCTGTAATTCTCTTGTTGGGAAGTTCTCCACTGGGACAGGAAAAGCAGTAATACACTTAATACTGCAGTTAAATTTGTTTCAAGATCTGTTTGGTTCCAGTTTTGCCATCTCTAAGACCTGTTTTTACCCCAAATAGAGTGAAAGACAGCTGAAAAAGAGATATTTACTTCTTAACTATTCTTGGTTGTTTCCTGAGAACACAGGGGCTCATGATGTAGGAAAAAACCATTATAACAGACTAACCTAGCTTCCCTCCTTTTTTTTTTCCTTCCTCGTTTTTTTTTTCCCCTCAGGGATCAAAGTTTTTATAATTATTAGCTCTTTATCTGATTCAGATCTTTGTCCAAGTGTGATGCCCAAACCCTGAAACAATATTAATGGGATGTTTCATCAACGCTGAGAAGAGTTGAAGCACTGTCATGCACCATCCGCTCAGTTCCTTCTTTTACCTATTTGTGCAGTAAATTTTTCCTACCAAAATGCTCTACTTTGCACTTATTTCTTATTTATTACAGTACTTATTTCTAATTTTAAAGACAATTTCAGGAAATAATGCTACCCTCTGAAGTTATTGCACCTTTCCTACTTTGAGACTAATTGCAAATTTAGTAAATGCATTCCTTCCAGCTCCTTCATGAAATACTTGATCCACGCTAAAATCAGGTCAGCTACCATCACAACCCTAGTGCATTCTGCCAGTGCTACATATCAAAAACTGTTCAGAAAAAAAAAAAAAAGCCCTCAGTTTTAATTGCACATTGTACAAGTAGATTACAGTTGCCAAAGCAATTAGAAACTGTGACTACTGTTGTACCACATAATTGTTAAAGCAAGTGTCTGCTGATCTGAAGTTTGTCGTTTCTGTATGCGATACCTCATCTTTAAACAATGTTTGTTAGCATAGGCTGGTCAGTGAAAAGTG